AGCCTGCCTGAGCCAACACGTGCTCGACATAAAGGACATCAACCGGCATTTCAAAACAGACGGCTGCACAGGTTAAGAAAAGAAAAAGGTAAATACTCCACAGTTGATTTACAATAACGGCAAGTAGTGTTAACAGTCATAAGATGGCTTTTTATAAAATCTCTTAGACTGAGCCCTGCAAAAAACACAGTACTGTCAAAACAGCCCAGTTTAGGCTTTGAAAATATTGTGACAGGTCTTGGGAGTGACTACTGAAATATCTAGAGACAATAATTAACACTGGCTAATAGCAACATCTAAAGTTTTGGGGGAGCTTCAAAGCAAGAAAGGAACTGGGGTGTTAACCTGAGTTGTACCAGGCCTGAGATACACTGATCAAAGGAACGGACTGGTTGACCTTGGTTAATTAAGGCCTGGGTAAATGATTAAGGTGTCATCACCAGACCAGGAACTCAAGTAGAAAAGACAGGGGGCAGCAAAGACAGGAGAAGACAGGAGGACACAGTGAGAAAAAAGCACTGGGCGAGAGCTGCTTGTCCAGATCTTCCACAAAGACCAGACTGGAGTGACGCATTTGAACCTTGTTAAGAGACCTTGCTCTTCTGTTGTTTTTAGGAAACTCTGATCTCCTGTATAGTGAAGACCTAGGTTAAAAATGGCTTCTCCTGGTTAAGGATGCATTTTTAGAATAGGGAGATAGGGTCCTGTTTACTTTGTAGCATCTGGATTTATAGAGACCGAGAGTAACCACAGGTCCTATTCAGTTTAGTTTAGTAGGCAGGTTTCTCTCTCATGTTGGCCTGTGGAGGTGTTATATAGGGTTTGAATACATGGTAGCAATCTGGGGTTTTCTGGTTAGTCAGGATGTAGGCCTCTGGGAAGCCCTACTTGTAAATAGAGTGACGTGTATGTTGTGTGTTTATGTTGTGTTTAGTTTGTGTTGTGTTGTCAGCTGTGCCAAAGAACAGAGAACTCAAGTGTCTCTCATTACACCCACCACTTGCTACATTCTTGCCAAAAGCTTTACAATTGGGGGGGGGGTTAATGATTATTGTATTTAATTATTAACCCACTGATATCCACTATTTTCAAAACCCATGTCTGAACCAATATCAGGCATCCAAGATGAAGCTGTTTCCTTAGGCTAAGAATGTTGGCTGTTTAACAATTCTAAGGAACAGCTGGGAAACTAGGATTGGGAGACTGTGCTATTTCACACTTGAGCAAGAACACGATGTGAGAAAAGGGAACATGGGCGCTAACATTTCCTTTAGGCGTCTCTCAACCTCTCTCAGCATGAGGCTCAGACAGGTGGACCAGTCATCACTGCATAATTCACATTTGGGGCAAAAATGCAGATGGCATTCCTGACGCGTTTCAGTAGTTATTAGCAAATGCACACGATTCACCAGCAGAGGGCCGTGTGAATTAACGTCAGTCTTACTGAAGCAACATTTTACCAACTGCATCTCCCCCTTAACTTGCCTGCGGTTTTCTGTTGGGGAATTTCCTATCAACACGAGAGAATCTGTAATTTCACAGTAAGCGCTCTGCTGATGAACTTTTAGAAGTTGGCTTTTGAAAGTGCTTTCTTTTCAAGAAAAGACCCGTTATAAGGCCCCTCATGTCCTTGAGTAAAAACCTCTTTCTCCCACTGAATTCCCTCTCCCATTTAAGCTTTAAGAACTCATTATAGAAATGATTTTCTTCAGGAAATAGTTACTTCACACGTCACTTAAAAAAAAAAACTAAAAGCAAATTCAAAAGTGAAACTGTTTCACAGAATGTGTTGCACAGAATGCAGGGTAATTGAGAAACGTGTAACTGCTGTCTTTGCTGCAACTTCCATTTCCATTTACATAAAAGATGTGAGGCAAAAGCACTGCAATACCACCAACCGACTAATAAGAACACATTTTACAGACTATCAGGGCTGAATCGATTCCAGCACTGCAGGACTTCAGTGTGTGAAGACTGAGAATCTGAGAAGAGAAGAGAGCATGCAAGAGAGATTAAATTCATCAT